GATCGATGCTTATTTATCATATCATTATTTGCCGATTGGTTTATACTGGATTATATTGTTATTTTATTACATCATCATCAACCGATTGTCTTCATATCATTATCTACATTAGACATACAACCGATTGTTTAAACCCTATCACTATCGGCTGGTATCGGCATCGGCATCGGCTATTATCGGCTATCGACTGGAACTATTCCATCGGCTTGTCAGCCGATCGGCTGTTTTGATCTACTATTTGCATATCTTGTCAGTTGTAGGATCAAACTGACTGGCACGCCCTCATCTCACTAAGATTTGGACCTGCACATGAGCTTAGCAAATCTCCCAGGCCGGTGTGTTCAATTTTTTCGTCAACAGTAACATATCTGTAACTTTTTTCATATCCTATCTTACTGTAAAGTTATCCCCCACTAACTCCTTAAGCTTAACATGCAAAGATGCCACATCATCATCCACTAACAAGATGCCACATCATCATCCACTAACAATCATCACATTTAAACATCATGCAAACATGCTATATCTTTATAGTTTTTTATAATTTAAGAGCTTTTCAAATACAAACATGTTAAATTATCATCCAACATAATTCACAATTCACGTAATGTTTCAATGTATATCTTTATTATGTTTTATGATATCATATATATTTATATAGTTCATCCTCACTTAGTTAGTGCTTAAATGATTAATCTATGGTCCAAATTATCTTTCTCCTTTTTTCCTCTAATTAAGTCATATCACATCAATTGTTTTTTGCCTTTAGATGATTAATCTACGGTCCAAACTATCTCCCTACTTTTTTTTTTCCATAAAGTCATACCACCTTACTTTTTACGTATACTATTTAAATTTAAATTATCATAAACCACATTAATTTACTTAATTTGATGTTACCTAGCTATCTTACACGTTATTTTTTTTATTGTTATCATACTAAATTCCCGCAGCAATACGCGGGGTTTCACCTTGTATATTCAAATGACATGTCTTGTTTTCCCTCATACTAGCAAATATATATATTTCCCCCATATTTATGCTTTGAAAATACTCGCATATTAGATATCGCTGTAAATGACTCGAGTAGTCGGGTCTGACAAGGGGCTTTACATTGTCAAATTACAGGATTTGTGCAGATCACCCAACTACTAAATAAACTTGGAATTTTTTTGTCTTTAACCGACAAAGATTATAATTTGTTAACTAGCCAATCTGACCGAGAGCAATCGCTAGATAAAATCCTATAACGTCTGGATAACTCGAAGAGTTTGTGGTAATGAAGATGACTTATTGCTGGTCTGGACAAGAGAAAATATTAGTTTATGATGTCGGACAAATACGCACGGGTGCACAATTTTTATTAGGTGTTTTATATGCATTTAGTGGCTTACGTTTAATGTCTGTATGTGGAGCTAACCGACGCTGCTCGACGACTTTAATGTTTGCTGATAAGTCTATTCGAGTATTTCAGAAAAAAAGAAAGAATAAGCAAAACAACAACATCGAGATTCTAATCACACAATTAGACTGCTTAAGTTCTGAACTTTATACAAACACTACTAACTACTACAGGATTGATTTTCCTGGACACTACCTTTTTTTCCATGCTGTTCATAACTGGAACCGCACAGAAAAATAGGGGGACCAGCGTCGGGTTGTCGCCCGCACGGAAAAATAAGCTGATTTTCCTGTGCGAACCTATTAAGAGAGCCGCACGCGAAAATAGTACTCTCTCTTTTCCCTTCTACCCACTTCAAAATTTCCCCTTTTTCCGCGCGCCTCGGTCCCTTCTCTCTCTTTTATCCGGCCCCATTGATTCTCCTTTCAAAGTCTTCTCTCTTTCCTCACTGCCTCACGCCAAAGTCTTCTCAGCCGATTCTCCTCTCCTCACTCACTGCCTCTCCTCACTACCTCTCTGTGGCGGCGGCGGCCCATGGCGATGGCTGCGTGGCGACAGCGACGATGGCGCTTTGGTGGCAGCGCGGCGACAACAATGATGGTGTGGCGGTGGAGGCGCGGGATCCGGCGAGCAGCGGCGGTGGAGGCGGCGACAGCGACGACGGTGCGGCGGTGGAGGCGCGGGATCCGACGGGCGGCAGCGGTGGCGGCGCGGCGACAGCGACGAATGCACAGGATTCGGAGGGCGGCGGCCGTCCCCGCACGGATCCGGCGGCCGGCCGCCCTCCCCCGCCATGGATCTGGCGCGGGATCTGGCTCCCCTCCCCTCCCCTTCCTTCCCTCCCCAGATCCGGCGGAGGGGAGGGGCGTCGGCGGCGGTGCGATCGGAAGGGAGCGTGGATGGGAGGCCGGCGGGAGGTGGCGCCGACGACGATGAGGTGGGTGCCGCCGTCGATGACGAGGAGGAGGCGGTGGACGGGTGCTGCGGCGCCGATCTAAGGTTTTCATTTTTTTTTGAAATTTTATTTTATTGTTCGGATTTTTGTTTTTCAGTGCGGGCGACATAAGCACCCGCATGTGAAAATCGCTGTTTTCCCAGACACCTTGGGGCGTGCGGGCCGTCCATCCGCATGCAAAAATCGTTTGACCCGCACGAGAAAATGGGTACTGTAGTAGTGAAATTTTAGACACCGAACACATGATTTTCCCGTCTGATGATACGATTTAGTTGTCGGCCTTAACTTTATTATCGGCTAACTATGTCGACTATGCCGACTAAGTTTTAAGTTTTATATTTTGAGAACTCTGACTCATGTGATATAAATATGGTCAACATAATCCCTCCGTCCCATAAAAAAACTAACATAGTACTGTATGTGACACATTGTAGTACTAGTAGTACTACGAATCTGCATATACATCACATCAGTTCTAGATTCACTTTTTTTTTTTACGCAGGGAGTATGTTTGAATAGAGTTTAATTAGGAGCTATTGTCAGTGTTCCAAAAATAGGATACCCTATGGATCTGTGCTTATCACAGCGGTTGTACCATATAAAATGTCCTATATGAAAATAAACATTATAGATATGGATAAAAATCTGAAGGGGATAAGGAATAAACCCCAAATATGAAAAAAAAACACAGATCAGTTCTACTTAAGCCCAACTAGGACTACCCGTTTCGTACTGTACATATCTCCCTAATTATACGTGGACAAGGGGGAATCGAGAGTATAACTGAAAATCCCTTGTGTGCCCATGAAAACTTACCTAATCTCTTTAATACCCCCTCAATTTTACTTGATCTCTTTGTACCCCTGAATTTTCGCTTTGATCCCCTCCGTACCCCTCCCGTTAGATTTCCGTTTCATCTGTAACGTATTCTATGAGCAACATTGTCAGTATTTTCAAAAAATACCAAAATGGCAGGCTATGAGCTACATTGTCAGTATTTTCAAAAAATACCAAAATGCCCTGCCAGTGCCAACCCTAACTAAACAGATCCAATCCCCTTCTCTTCTCCCCCATCCTCTCCACGCGAGCGGCTACCGTGCACCGCCAGTCTCCAATCGTGCAGGTGGTGCCTTTGCCATCCCACCGCCCTCTCGTCGCGCACGCCGCTGGCCGCCGCCCTCCATCGCACGGTGGAGCACCGCCGGCTATAGACCCGCTGCATCTCTAACCGCCCCCGGCTCTGCTCGTACGCCACCAGGTTGGCGAGCATGGCGTGGTTGGCATAGTTCTCCACGGTGGGGATCTCCATCACGCCGTCGCGCTGGCTGAACGTGACGTCGACGAGGCTGCACGGCAACCCCTTGGCGTGGAACGTCACCCCGGCATCCTGCAGCTCCGTCGCCGACGGCATCTGCCATGCCACCCGCTCGTGGATCGGCTTCGCCAGCCACTCGTCCCAGTACGCCTCGTCCTCCTCCTCCCCCTTGCCGCTCACGCCGCCGCTGTTGCTCGTCCTGTGCTCCGGTGGAAAGAACCAATGGTAGTAGAGGTCGAGAAGGTGGAGATTTAATTGAGATATGCATAATTTTCGATTTGGAAGCTTCGGTTATCACCGTCCTGTCGCTCGTCCTGTCCTCCGGCCGCCGGCAACATTTTCCAATTCTTTACCAATCTACCTACTGTTGCTCCTCCATCTACAAGGGCATTATAGACATTTGTAACCACACATAACTACAAAATAAAGAAAACCTAACGGGAGGGGCATAAAAGGGATCAAAGCAAAAATTCGGGGTACAGAGGGGATCGAGTAAAATTGGAGGGTATAGAAGAGATTGGGCATGTTTTCATGGGTACACAAGGGATTAACTCAGAGTATAAATTCAAGGCTTCTCACGAGGAGGGATGACATTGATGGCAGACTCGATTAAGGTTATCTCCTGATACTTTGTACTCCCTTCATAAAAAAAACTCAATTATGGGTTTCAAAGGCGTGTGTACAGGTTCAAACATAGAATTGGATTTTTTTTGACGGAGGGAGTACATATGAGATTGATATATGAAAAAGTGTTTTCATCCCTCGAGGGGATATTCCCTTGTTTCGTGCATGTCACATAAATATTTATAAAAAAATGAAAAAAAAATCACAAGATAGATTAATATGAAATGTATCACTCCACAAACATGCATGTTAAAAATCAACTTCCACAAATTATAACAAAAATAACAAATATAACTGCGAATGTACGATAACTACTTTCAGTCTAATTTGTTCTTTTTTGTTGTAACTTATAGAAATCAAATTTTGCGAGTGGTATATTTCATATTAATCTATGTTGTTATTTTTTTTCAATTTTTTTATAACTATTTAGATGACATGCAAGCGATGAGGGGATATCCTCTCGAGGAATGAAAATCCACATCTTGATATACACAATGACAACACTGGCCTTCGCTCAAAATGAATAGGGCTATTACCCATCTCGGTGGCCTTAACCTATATAAATAAACCATGTCCCTCTTATTCTTCTTACTGCTTCATTTTTATCCTCACATTAGTCGATCTCTGTGTCCTCAAATACATTACATATGTACGGAACCTACGGTCAGGATGTTACCGGTATAACTAGTTGAAGAAACAGAATATGCACAAATATAATTTTTGTACTTATCCGATTCGATCAGTTAAATAACATACCCAGAAATTTACAAAACTATTCATTTATTTGCACCAATAATCACATTCCTGATGGAATGTTTCCATTTGTAAAGGCAATCTATTACTTTTTACCCACAAGAGCCTGATTGACTTACGTTGGTGCGGCCATCGCACATAAATGATTGGCTTTTGCTAAAGTCACACCAAACTTCTCCGTCATATCAATTCTATTTCCTTCTACCTCAGCTGGGAGTCTCCATTTAAAATGAATTAACAGGGATGCAAGAAGTACATGCACCATCCTAACAGCTAATGGCATTCCAGGGCAGATTCGTCGTCCCGCACCAAATGGGATGAGCTCCAAATCTCCACCTTTGTAGTCAATTGTCCTTTCTAGGAATCTCTCCGGAATAAACTTTCCCGCTTCTGGCCATATATCTTCGTCTCGACCCATGGCCCACACGTTTATTAACACTCTAGTACCTTTAGGTATTGTATAACCCATTATTTGGATCGTCCTCGTAGCTTGCCGTGGTAATAATAACGGAGCTGGTGAATGCAGTCGAAATGTTTCTTTTATGACAGCTTGCAAATAGGGCAATTGACCAATTTCAGATTCTTCAATTCTTCTTCTTGACCCAACAACTCGTCTTAGCTCATCGCATAGTTTAGCCATTGATATTGGGTTCTGTAGCAATTCGGCCATTGCCCATTCTACTGTGCTAGAACTTGTGTCACTACCTGCAGTAAACAAGTCCTACAATACAAAGATATACAATGAAATGGTAACGGAAATTAATAGTACACCAATAACTGTGGAAGAGCATCCACATACCACATTTTTATGTTTAAAAGTTATATATATATATATATATATATATATATATATATATATATATATATATATATATATATATATATATATATATATATCTTGTCGTAATTAGTAACTATTTGTAACGAGAGCCATATGGGGCATCATGGTGCCTGGGCACCGATGGTTGAAATACACAAATTGACTCAAATTGATTTTTAACTTATGACTATAAACCCAGGTGTAACAATTATATTCATACCTACACGGCTACACCTAACAACAAATTGACTCAAATTGACATTATTTCACAATTCATTAAGTTATATGTTTGGATGGTACAGAATCAAAATCTAACAAAGAAAAATGTTCAATTTAGTTTAAACTTGACTATAAACAAGTTAATTTCATACCTAAAAGTTTTTGAAATTTTGGACCCCCAAAATTTTCGTAATTTTATTCTTTTGTGATTTTGTTCAAAATATGTTAAATTCAGTCAAATTTTGTTTAAGTTATAAGTAGTTCCGTATCAAATTTTTTTGAAATTTCTGAAATTTTGGCTTTTACGAAATAGCGGTTTGTATGCGATTGAAAGCAACATATTTTTGGTTTTTTTATCGAGGAGATCCAATCAGGGTTCACTTTATCGGTTAGGCCGATCGTGTCGGAGGTCACCGAAATCCCAAAATTTCGGTCCGAAATTTCCAAAATTTTGAACAAATATGACCAAAATTCATGAACAAATTGAAAAATTGAAAAATTTTGGCCAAAGTAATATCATTTCGGAGGGGACCGAAATTCGGAAATTTCGGTCCGAAATTTCCAACCTTGGATCCAATCATGCATGTCACAGTAAAAATAAAATCAACCCATAGCCCCCCGGCACTGCACAAGTTGTAAACGGAAAATGAAAATGACTGGAACTGAAAACGATGGTTGTTTTCCTTGTATTTTTTTCCTTTTTTTATACTTTTTTATTTTTTAGTTTTATTAATAGACCTTTACGAAAATATTTCCGAAAACTGAATTCTTTTACCATGCTAGGCACGGTGGCGCTGCAAGATGTTGTTATGGCGCATGAGGTGACAAAGTGATTTGACTACATCAGACGGGTTGACGTGGCCAAAAGATTTAGATTTAGAAATACAGTTCTATTAATAAAATTTTAAAATAAAAAATTCTAAAAATAAAAAAAATTCGTTATCCTTACCGTGAACAGTGACCGGAGCGTGTCGCCGTCGAGCCTCGCCGTGTCGTCGTCCCGCGCGGCGAGCCTCAGGAGCACCTCCAGGAAGTCGCCGTCCTTCTCCTTCATTCCGTGCAGCCTGCGATGGTCCATCTCGGCGTCGAACAGCCGGTGCAGCCGCGCAAACAGCCCAGACAGCCGCCGGCGCCAGCCCTGCAGGTCGACGGCGGCGAGCGCGGGGAAGAAGTCCGACAGGTTCGGGCTGCCGACTGCCTCCATGACGTCCGTGATCAGTCGCTGGAACTCCTTCGACGCGCCGTGGTCGTCGAGGCTCGTCAGGTCGTGCGAGAAGATGGTGCGCGCGACGAGGTTCAGGCTCGTGGTGAACGCCACGCGGCCGATGTCCACCGCCGTGCCGTCGCGCGCCAGACCCGCCACGTGGTCGACGAGCTCCGCCACCTTCTCTTGCCGGAGCTCGTGGAGCGCGTCGAGCCGGCGCGTGGAGAACAGCTCCGTCGCCATGATCTTGCGGAGCTCGCGCCACCGCGGCCCGGGGGGCAGCCAGGCGACGGAGTTCCTGGCGTGGTCACCGGTGGCGTCGGGGGTTGAACGGGTGGCGAAGACGGCGTCGTGCTTCTGCAGGAACTCGCGGGCGACCTCCGGCGAGGAGGCGACCACCGTGGTGACAGCGCCAAGGCGGAGCGACATGAGAGGGCCGTAAGTCTTGGCGAGGCCGGCGAGCGAGCGGTGTGGCAGGTCGCCGAGCAGGTGGAGGCTGCCGATCAGCGGCAGCGGACGGGGTCCCGGCGGGAGGCAGCGTCGTGAGTGTGCGAGGAGGTCGAGGAGGTAGATGGAGAGGAGGGAGAGTAGAAGCCATGACAGCCAAAGGAGCAAAGCCGCCATTGCTCCGTGTTTCAGTGTGTTTGGTAAACAAAATGATGTGTGTTTGTGTGTGTGCTAGAATCTGGGACATTTGCTAGTATATATTTATAAAATGAGGAGGCAACGGTGTGAGTGTACGTGTTTGTGATGTGACCAGCAAGAAAATGGGAAATTGAATTGGATTTTAGGTGGTCACCAGAGGATAGAGAAGCGGATGAGGTCGGTTCCATACATGGCAGTGCATTTGCTAATCAACATTAGTGAACAGGGGACCCCAAGATCCGACCAGGATTAGCCACGTCATCAAATAAATATGAACAGTTGGACGCACAAATTGAATAAAGAGAACCGTTGGATCAAAAGAGATAAAAATAAATAAATAAATAAATAAAGCAAATAGTGTCATGCGATGTTATAGACCCTTCAAGCACATCCCATAAAATGTGTGGTAACAAAGATATGAGAATGAAAAAATATCTTCAAAATTATCCTTATAAAATAATCACCAATGAGTATTCAACAGTAATTCTACTGTGTCAATAATAAGAAGTTCCATGAATATATGAATAGCTACATAACCTAATACTTTTGATTACTTCACTACAGCTTAAAATTAAAAAAACATGTGACATGGATGACATAAAAAAATTGTAAAGTTGACTTAAATCATATGATTATAAGATTTACGATAAAAAAACATATAGACACTTCTCAACTGGAGATGATAGAATTGCAACGCGTAAGAAATGTGGCTATTTACATTACTACTACAATTGACGCATTTAGATATTCTAAGACGTAATGGTCGCAGTAATACATGATAAATTCCTTGTTGTTACCATGATATTCTTAATGACAAATCAAGATATATAAATCCATTAATGTTATAGCTGTACTTTTGAAAAAAATATGTTGAGAACATAAGAACTACTATTAGGTTTTGAGCGCCAAACATATATCAGCCCAGGCCAACCCCAGCCCACGTCCCGTCATCCCACTACTAGCGTTGTCGGAGTAAACGATTTACTCCTATCGCATGTCTCTACCACCCACCTTTATTCGAGTAAACAATTTACTTCGATAATAAAAACAACTTCCCTGCTTCCGATCCCACCCCATGTCCCGCATCGTGCTCTCACCATTATCGGAGTAAATGATTTACTTCGATAAAAACAACTTCTCTGCTTCCGTTATATATTCTATTTTTCCCATACCCAACCAACCACTCTCGCCCATTTTTTTCCTTTTTTTTTCGGATCTGAATCGATCCACCATCCTAGCCCACAGATCGGCGACACACCATGGAGGACGACGATGACACCGTGGCGGTTGATGGCAGTGGCTGGCGAGTGGTGGCCAGCGGCAATTGAGGCGACGACACTGCTTCGGGCCTCGCTACCGAACGCTGGGCAGCACCTTAACAAGTAAGGAGGTGTTCACCTGGGCCAATACCAACAACCAGCAGCTGCTTCACGTTTGCGACATTGATAGAACAAAGAAGTAAGGAAATGACACTCTGATTTGTATCTACATACTCTCCTTGAACTTCACACATGAAGCCCCAAATTTTTTTTGCAAATCAAATTAACATGCAATCTCCAATATTACCTGATCTTAATTGTTGGGCTGCATAGGTCCTACATTTGCACATCGTGCTCTATGTGGCTGGACACAGAGGATAGGGTAGAGTCCGCTGGTGATGGAGGTTGTTTGTTATTTTTCTTTTGCTCGTCATTTCTATTGACATGAACGAGAATGTTTTTGCAATTTTTTCGTGCTTGCAAGATGATTGATGGCTGCTACTGCGCAACGTCGAGCTCGTCTCTAGACCACACCGCTACATCCTTCCATGATTCCATCATCGACTACTGCTCACCACCTAGTTGCCGTCTCCACTACCAGTCACAAGACACGGACCATCCTCATCATCCTTATAGCAAAGATCCAGCAAAGCCACCAGATGGATTTTAACTAAATCACTTTTTTTCTTTTCTAGTTTGATTCACCTGTGAGTAATTTTATCGCTTGTGTGTGATTGAGTCTGTAATTTTTTCTTTCAGACGACTATTTTGTGATACAGATCAATAATACTCTTAGTACCAGTTTTTACTCTTATATTGTACATTGAACACATCAGTAAACATATTACTACACGGTGGCTACGAGATCATGTCTCAATTTTTAGTCTTATAATGTGTATTGAACACATCAGTAAACATATTACTACATGGTGGCTAGGAGATCGTAGGCTATATCGAGAGGAAGGCAGTATTTGTTTTACTCACAGTCCACGAAATCTAAACAACATTTATAATATTGGTAAAAGAATTACTAGCGCTGTAAGCTGGTATAGCGCTGTAAGCTGGTAGTAATTCTTTTACGACCATGTAGGTATGGCGTCATACGATGTGGAGGCATTCATGTGAGTAAATTTGGTACTTTTGAATGAGCAGATGTGGGAGGCTAGGAGTAAATAAAAAACTACACAGAGTAAATTCGTTACTATTAAAATGTGTGGAGATACTAAAAAAAGGGACAATTCAGAAAGAATAACTAGACGGTAAATATTTTATTAAAACGCAAAAACAAAATAACTATAGAGAAGGAACGAAAAACAGAAAAATCTGGATGGTTAATATTTTACCGGGCCTATTGATGAAGCACAAAAGAAAAAAGAAATACGAAAGGTGGGTGGTAAAAAACGAAAAAAATAAACCGAGAAAAGATGGGATACGGAGGAAAGGCATGGGTGGTAAAAAAGGGAAAACCGGACGGAGAGGGCGTTGTGGAGCGCTCGAACTAATATTCCGCGTTGTAGCGTGCGGATTAGCACTACTGTAAAAACATATTCATTATTAATTATTATTAACATAAACAATATATAAATATATTTAATAGATGGAGAGGCCATAGTCGTGTGACACGACTTATGTTGCTAGTTGGTCTGAAGCTAGGAGCCGGTATCAGGCATAATAGCACCAGTCACAAGGGAGAGAGAGAATCATTGGACCCATCTGTCAGACAACACAATATCTGATTCTCCTTTGCAATTCAATACAGCTAGGCCCACCATATGGAGCCTATGCTGGGTTCTATTATGGCATGTACAATGGAGACCACATGTACTAGTGGTCTCATGATACCACATAGGATAGAACCACATAAAAGTCACACTACCTACAGTGGAAACCACTCCAAAATATATTTTGCATTTTAGTTCCTATCTATTTGTGTATCTTAGTATCAAATCTATTAAAACTTAATAATTTGGTCCGTATAACAACCAAAAGAAGTATATATGCACCCCTCAACACCATGCGGACCCACTATCAGCCTGTCCCTGTCCACTCCCTTTTTTATTCTCTCTCTCCCTGTCCCTCCCGAGCCTTCTCGTCTTCTTCCTCTCCATAGAGACCGTCGGCACTCTCCTTCTCCCAGTCCACCCCGCCGACGAGACCCCTCCCCTACCCCGTGAGCTCGCCGATGAGACCCGTTCCCTCCTGTCGTCCCCGGTTTTAAAACACGGGAGACCACTTGTGTTAACAATACTAAATCCCTAGATCAATAGGTTGGCATACACACAATATGTTACTGGTACAGTGTCGTCTGCAGCGTATTGGATTACAATACTTAATATTACAAGGGATGTCCGAGTGGATCCCCAAATAGGCCATGAGGCCGATACATTACCAACATAGAAGCATAGAGTAGGGTAGCAGAAGCGAGGCCGCGATGGTATGGCTTTATTCCCACAGGCAATGATTGGGAATTAGTCCCTACGGCATCACCACGTGTTCTTCTTCGGGGAGGGTCTTAGTCGGGTCATCCACAAAATCAGAGTCTAGAAAGTGATGTAAAGCAAGAGTGAGCACAGAAGTACTCAAAGACATCACTACAAGATTCCTAACTTTTACCAAGGGTGTTTAAACCGTCGGCCACCTATTAAAACTGTCGGCCATACATATTACTGAGTGTCAACTGTCGGCAACTTCCCCTCAGCCACATGTGGTCGGTAATTGATCATATTGCTGAGGGTACCCTCGGTAACTATGTACCCGAGGGTTTACGGTCGGTCCTTTTTTCAGAGACCACGCATGGTTCTTTCTTGCCGACCACATTTCCCGAGCGTATACCATCGGTTATTCATTGAGTGACAGTATAATATACCGTCGGCCTTATTCTCACAGAGAGGTTTATTTTCCCGTCAAATTGTGATTACCCTCGGCAATTTAGTAACAAATGGTTCTACAAGCCTTCGGAAATAGTATTTGCCATAGGTTTTTATATACCGTCATCCATTCATTACCCTCGGAAATAGTATTGCCGAGAGATTATTTAGGTTACTTGAAAAAGAAAATCAAACCCTCGGTGATTTGATATTTTCTAAAAAAATGCAAATTTAAATTGTACCCATTTTTAATTAATCTTATAAAAGTAACTTACTGCACATAGTCACATCAAAACAAATTTCAGCTTAATTAATCCATAAACAGATCCACGGGAAGTTCAACCATAGATATATAACCAAATTGTTCAAAAATATTTATCATCCATCACCATAGCAAAACTAAGTAATTCCTGACATGTCTTGCATGAAAGACTTTAATTGAAACAAGTCTGTAACATTTAAAATAAGATAGACTGAGAGAAAATTCTCTAAACTGCAAGGGTGGTCCATCTTCTACATAAGAAAAAGTAAGCTTCATAAAATTCATGGTCTCCATGTTCGCTTTTAGATAATCCATAAATCAATATCTTCATGGTCGCTTTCAGACATTCCATAATCCCCATCAGTGTCATCACCATTGCCCTCTCCTTCAGGAATCTCATTTCCTTCCCCAAGATCAAAATCATTGTCCTCATATTCAGGAATCTCATTTCCTTCCTCAAGATCAAAATCATTGCCCTCATCTTCACCAATATCATTTCCTCCCTCTTGATCAACATCACTCTGCATATATGATTGTATCTTAAACATTAGGTACTGCACTTTATTTAGATAATGTTAGGTATTGCACTAGAGCAAATTTTTATTCGCTATCGCAAGAATATTTTGAAAGAAACTTATTTCCTACCTGGTCATGTTGATATTCAGCCTCATGATGATCTGGAGCAGACCCAACATCTTTAGTTGAGGAAGCCTACAATTTTGAAGCAACATCTATATATTATGCTACGAGTGTTTAGAAACACAAGACACTAACATCATTTGAAACAGAAGTCAAGATGAGTAAACCACTTTTAGTTGCTCTCATGTATACTATCGATATCATGGCATTATTTAAATATAGTTAGTTACTAAAACAGGAATGAAAAACTATTACATATTATCGAGAGAGTGAACTAACCAACTCAGGAGCATATTGTCTCACAAGGGTTTCATAGTCAAGTCCACCTTTAGCAGCCAATGCCTGCAAAGTTACAAAATCAAGGCCATGGTTCTAATAAAAATTAAGTAAATGCTTGTTTTTGTATCCAATTTATAAAGAACAAATCATACCCGCACAACACACTCCAAGCCACGGTAAGAAGCATTATCTCTTTCCAAACATTTAATCTTCTTTTGTTGATAAATTTCTCTTGCAGAGACACGTGATGGTGGCGGTGTCACAGCCCTCTTCCTTGACTTAATTGCATCCTTATCTTTATTGCTAATTGCCTCATTAGCAATGGCTAGCCTACCATGTGGCATTCGACCTGTACTGTTGTAAATAACATTGGCATCTAAGTCAGGCTTCTCAACTTGCCAGTTTGGTCCATATTCTCTTTCCATTCCTCTTGAAAGACATCCCTTTGTCAAAATTAGAAACCATGCATTAATCGATCCATAATTCTTAAAATTGCAAATATTGTACATATATACGTCAAATGTTTTTCTATGTGGTCTTAATAGCAGAAAACACATGTATTTAGTGTCACAAGGCTGATCAGGCCTCTATACTTCACTAACTAGTAAGAAATTGGAGTTGTCAACTTTCAGGAATCAGACTACATAACTATTTCTAATTGCTTATTTGAGTTGCAGTTTATATGTTTCTCAATCGAACATTATGTAAATTCATTATAAACTTCTTTTTTCATGCGAGCTGACGATCTAGAAACCATCAATTCATCTTAAAAGATCATTCAGATCACACCATGTGTTTTGGAGGGTTTCTAAATTGGCACACATGGAGGAGTTCCTGATGAAAATTTCGAAAAATAGGAGGCAAGTAGCATCTACGTCTAAGTCCAAACTTAAGCTAGTAATTGATCATGAGAGGTTCAACATTACTGAGGTTTTGGTTCTCATAATTAAGCAGCAGTCTTTAAAAAGTAAAATTACAGAGCTTACCCAAGCTTCTTCTGCCCTCTGGTTGCATAGCTGCTCATTTTTTCCTTGTTGCATCCTGTGTGTGTGCTGCCAAGCAGCAGCAAGTCCTTGCTGCCCACCTTTTGTATGTTGCTGCATTACAAATAAGTTAGTATATGCAACGATTTTATATAGGAACAAGCTCTATGGATTGCTACAAATTAACAAGTACTAGGTACTGCTTTGTAGCGACCAAGCCCCGCGACCCGCCGCATTGGTATACAATATCACCTCCAGCTAACCTGTTTCTCTTCCCATTTAAAAATTTCTTCCTAAATTCAGGTGTACTCCAGTGCTCACAAAGTAAACGCCAACCCTCTTTAGTAACTGAAAAATCCTTTGGTTTAGCAGAAACCAAAGCTTGCACAGTAGGCCAATGGTTACCATCCTCATCAACATCCTCATACTTTGCCTTTTTTATATAACTTGTTGGTAGCTCTTTTCTTCTCTTCGAACAGCACCTGTGGCACTTTCTTCTTGAAATTTTGCTCCAAGACTTTATCAGCTTCCACTTTGTCAGTGGGATCACATTTAAAACAATACTGCCAAATCAAGCAAGAATAATATTATTTTTCCACGCTGTTGAGACTATCACAAATATGAGGAAAACTTACCCAAAATTCTTTAAGAACTCGGTCAGCTGGTGACATTATTCTTTCATTTGTAGACCTCTTGTAGTCCCTCCAAGTAAGTGCAGGTGTCCTGCATTCTACGAGACCAAAAGCACCAGGATAGAACTTACGCAATAGTGCACCTTGCACTGTTGATGGTCTACGAGATGAGATATAAGGATACACTTCAAAAGCGCTACAAACAGAAAGTAAAATATTAGTATATCCACAAATTCGTTCATCCATATATATTAGCTCTGTTTTGTAATAAAGATTTTTGTTAAGCATGCACTTGAAGAAGTCGAAATGAAATTTATGTAAAACTTACTCTCCAGCTGGGACTATTCTAGGACAATCAGCCTCCTCCAGTCTATCACCACACCCAGTCCTTGCACGGGTGTTGGACTCATCGTCTTCGACATTGGTTGGCGAAGACCCTCCATTTCCTGCTTGAGCACTGGAAGCTGATCCTGTTTGCCTTGATGATCCCTCACTTTGAGGTTGAGGTCTATGTCTTAAGCGCCCGCTCATCCTACAAGTGTGAGATGGTAATTAGTATAGTTGTATCACACTGAAGCACTGCACAGAAAAATAATGAAAATAAAGAAACATGGTACTGACCTTCTAGAGTGAAAACAAATTAAATAGCTGATTATATAATAGAACATAGTACTACAGGAAATTAGCATGACAATTAGGATAAATTTGCACCAAAGTATTGATTATATAATACCATATATTATTAAAATAAATTATCAGGATAACTCAAATAAATTTGCACCAAATTAATGAAGCTATGAAAAAAATAAACTCAATAATCATCATCATCATATTCTGAATCATTTCCATTCTCCTCGTCATCATTGTCCTCGTCCTCGTCATCGCCATCATCAACTTGTTCTTCAGAACCCTCCTCCCCACCACTTTCATCTGATTCTTCATGGATCTCATCACTACCAATGTTATCTGAAGGTTCCTCATTGCCTTGCTTTTGTAGAATTTCAATTTCATCAGGATCAACCACATATCAGAATCATTGGTTGACATTATAATCTCATCAAATAAGTTCCCTGAATCTACGACTAAATTTCCCTGCAAATCCTCTTCTTGGCAACAGACATCTTCACTTGGGATGACCAAGCTTCTAATTGGTTGCATCTTGTATACAACCCACTAATCACGCAAGTCTCGCCTTCGGGAAGGATATTGCAGATAATATACTTGTGTTGCTTGATGAGCCATAGCAAATGGTTCAAAGTTTGTTAATTTTGAGGTAGACTTTATTTCTATCATTCCCAAAGTTGGTGTGGATCGTTTGCCCCGAATGGGGTCAAACCAACGGCATTGGAGCAGCACTATTTCAATCTTCCGGCCAGCATCAAATGTTAGTTTTATAATGTCTTCGATGACACCATAGTAGTCAAGTTGCTGGTCATCAGAGGTGAACGAGGACAAACAAACCCCTGAGTTTACTGTGGTCAACCTTCTACGAGATTTTTCATATTTCTCGGACCTAAAACGATAGCCATTAATATCATAAGAATTGTATGACAAGACCCTAGGCTTGCATCCAGTAGCTAAATTCCACAAATCATCATCTGCACTTGGATCATTTCGACACTACAATAAGTAAATAATTTAGAAATTAAAAATATATATTTTGAACATTATAGGTAAGAAAATATAAGGATATATATAGAGTTTTTACAGCATTCTTAAACCAGTCAACAAATTCCTCTCTCATCAATTGATCAAGCCCCTCGACTGAAAGATTATTATGCATTGCATGCTTCTCTTCAGAAAACTTTCTACAAATAAGATATGATTAGAAATTTTGTTTGTAACAAACTATATATAATGAAATTTTCATCACATACTCTTGAAATTTGTCGACCATAGAGCAATTTGTCAGGACATATAACATCGCAACATTCAACTCTTGTGGACTAAGGTCTCGAGGCACACCTCTACCATGAAGCATGCCCTGTTCCTGGAACACATCTAAGGTGCAACCATCATTTTGCACCACTGTACCACCATTGTTGTATCTATTAGGCTTGTTCCAGGTTGTTCTAATGTCTTTGTTAAAATAAATAGACATAAAATTTGTTGTCTCTTCTACAATATATGCCTCCACGATTGAGCCCTCTACTCTTGCCTTGTTACGAACTTTAAGACGAAGTTTGCACATACACCTATAAATATATTAGAAAATTTTCAATTTAATTGACAAGACAAATAGTATCTAAGCTAGTTAAAGCTACAATACCTTTCAAAGGGGTACATCCAACGAAATTGTACAGGACCGCCAACCCTTGCCTCATAAGGAAGATGTAGAATCAAATGTTGCATTGAATTAAAGAAACCCAGTGGAAACATTTTCTCAAGCTTGCATAACAGAACTACAATTTCCTTTTCAAGTCTATGCATTTGTTCTTTATCAATTTCTTTGGCGCACAACTGTCTATAAAAAAAACTTAGTTCAGACAAATCCTTCCATTCTTTCTCTGGAATGAACCCCCTCAATGCAACTGGTAGCAGACGTTCTATAAATATGTGAAAATCATGGCTTTTCAACCCAATAAATTTGCACTGAGACAAGTTCACAGCTTTCTTTAAGTTAGCTGCAAACCGATCAGGAAATTTCAAGTCCTTAAACCACTTCATAATGGTCAATTTATCCTCCTTTGTAACACAATATTTTGCCCTAGGCTTTTGCCACCTACCATTGGTGCTTTTAGTCATGTTTAGAGTTGGTCGATCACAAATATCAGCCATGTCAAGTCGTGCTTTCACATTATCCTTAGTTTTATCTTGAATATCTAGGCAAGTGCTCAACACTGCCTCTGCAACATTTTTCTCATTATGCATGACATCAATGTTATGACGAAGCATCAATTTCTTGAAGTATGGTAATTTCCATAAACCACTTATACCTGTCCAATTGTGTGTCTCCCCAAACCCTTCAAAGGTATGCTTACCGGTTCTATCAGGAACAAGGCTCATGAGCTGCTTGTATATCTCATCACCAGTTAAGCGCTCTGGGGGAGGATCTAACACTTTTGTTTTCTTTCGAAAACATTTTAAGCTCCTACGAAATTCATGATTACTAGGGAGGAACCTCCTATGGCAATCAAACCAACAAGCTTTATGCCCATGCTTCAACTGAAAGGCCTTCGTACCACCCCCACATATAGGACAAGCAAGTTTTCCATGGGTGCTCCAACAAGATACTAAGCCATAAGCAGGAAAGTCATGAATAGTCCACACTACTGCAGCCTTCATATTGAAGTTTTGCTTCAAAAAACGATCATATGTGACAGCTCCATTCATCCATAGATCAAGAAGCTCATCAACTAGAGGCTCCATGAAAACATTTAAGTTTTTCCCTGGGTGCTCTGGGCCAGGAATAACAAGTGAAAGAAGAATATTATTATCTTTAGTGCACATTTCAGGTGGTAGATTATATGGAGCAACAAAGACTGGCCAACAAGAGTATGGAGTTGAAGCTATACTAAATGGTGTAAAACCATCTGTTGCTAGACAAAGCCGCACATTCCGTACCTCCTAAGAAAAATCAGGAAACTCCTTATCGAATTCCTTCCAAGCTTCCCCATCCGAAGGGTGACCCATAACATTGCTTTCCTCACGAGGCCTTGCATGATATCTCATATGCTTTGCCATGGTCTCAGACATGTACAATCGCTGCAACCTTGGAGTGATGGGGAGATAACGCAAAACTTTCCGTGGGACTCGCTTTGATCTATTTCCTCTAGCCGACTCTTCATACCGAGCCTCACCACAAACAGTGCAGTTTTCTTTATGCTCGTTTTCCTTATAGAAAAGCATGCAATTGTTTGTACATGCATGAATCTTCTTGTATGGCATGCCAAGACTGTGCACAAGCTTTTTAGACCTATGGTAATTTTTGGGGAGTTTATTTCCAGCCTCATCTCCTAAACTATCATGTAGTAGATTCATTATTTCATTATAGCAGGCTTCTGACATGTTATTTTGTGTTTTGATACTCATTAGACGTGCCACAATTGACAAACGTGTTTGTCTTGTATTCTCATGCACTGGTGTGTCTACTTCCTCTAGCAATCTGTATAGTTCTGCAGCTGTAGGTGTTGGTTCCTCACTCGGATTAACATCATGTGCAGCAATTGCATCAGTTAACATTTCATTCATTTGATCTACCAGACCTATATGTTGTTCTGCTTCATCTTCCTCAAGTATTTCTGGCTCACCATGACTAGTCCACCTTTCATATCCTAATTGGAAGCCATAACGGCATAGATGGAGTGTCATTTCCTCTCTTGTGCGTTTGTGGCAGCAAACACACTTACTACATGGACAATAAGATTTCCCATCAACAGTAACTTCAGGCAATGAAAAAGCATGGTCTAGAAATTTTTCTAACCCCTGCCTCCAAGCTGTACTAATGGACCTGCCCTTTTTTTCAGAGTACATCCAACCACGGTCTTCCTCCATTAGCAGGTTGCCTGAGTGTATCATTCAAAATTTTATATACTATATTGTGGAAGTTAAAAATGAGTATATATGGGAGTTTTCTACATTCAATAGACAAGCGCATGATTGTGCAGAGAAGAATGACAGTATATAGATTCCTAAAAAAAAATGGACAATCTGCAGTGGAAGTAAACTAAAGGACAATAGTACATGTCTTGAAGAATTCTACGGTGCCAACAGGTGTGCATGTAATATTGGAATACTGTGAAATGAAGGGCAGGTTCGCTACATCCCAGTGGATTTGGAGATTTGAGAAGAGGAGTATTTTCAGAATTTTTATGACAGAGCCAGCACTAGGCCACCTAGGCGAATAGTAGAGGCCACAGCGCAGCATCCACTACAGATCTTTGATAATTATCTGAATTTAGCACATAGTTGTTCATCCACTACAGATCATTGCTAGAAAATTGCACTCAACAAAAATCGAAAATCAGAATAATGGAGAGAATAAGGCCATTGCAGGAAGAAAACTTTGAGGGAGGGAGAGCAGGAGGGAGGGATGACCATACCTTGACGTGGAGTGGTGCCCTCGCGTGTGCCCGGCGAAGCAAATTCCGCCGGTAGGGAGAGGAGGGACCGGCGATGACGTACGGAGAGAAGGGAATTCACAGATTCAATCTAATGAATCAGTTTTGCTACCAACTATTTCGAAGGAGAAAAGACGCAAGAGTTATATATTACTTATCGCGTGGGCGGCGAATTTGCGCGCGTATTATTTTAGGAGATCGGAAGTGGGCGCGAATAAGGAAACCGTCGGCCACACTCTGCGAATTGGAAATTTTTAGGTCGCTAACACGTACTTTAATATTTTGGTGCCTCTTTGTTCAGTGTACAAGGCGTAGCTCAGCTGGTTTGGAATCATCATATTTATCATATTTATGTGGTGGAGGTCTTGAGTTCAAACCCAAGAACTGAAATATATATTTTTAAAAATTTCGGATTGTATTACATCATGCTTACAAAATAGATAATATTAATAAAATATGGCCACATTTTTATGCTCATGATTTTTTTTTGCACAATTTTAATTCAATGTTCTCTTTAGTTTGACGTAAATGCATGCCATTTCATAAACTTATCTGGTCAAAGTTATAAACTCGTTTAATGCAAACATACATGAGCATACATGGTTGTATCATGTGAAAAATAATCGTATACCATTGCATTTGTAAAGAAATGAGATAATAATTTATGAGATTGGGACGTAACTACAAAGGTGCCATGAAGCGGGTCCATACACTGGGCAGGGGGCCGAGTTAATGAAACCAATCAAATTGAAGATAACAACTATGTGGTTAATATGGTAAAGACTAGAGAGTCTATTAATTTATTGTGCCCACGTGTATATACTTCAATTTGATCAAAAATAAAGATTTAAAAAAAACAAAGTTACTATATATAAGGACGTTTGTTTTTTTTTCAGTTATAGCCTACAGTACATATTATATTACATTT